TTTTATTTATTTGAAATGTTAAATACTACATAATGAAAATTAATAAGACATGAACAAATCAGTATTTATTATTCCAAGATTAATTATCATTATTTCTCATTGTTCAATGATTAATTATCATTCATATACCGTTCCTAAACAAATTATCATTAGAAATTGTGTTTAATTAAAAAACATGAATAGCTTCGTCAGTCTAGAATGAAATAGGTAGTGTTACAGAATTCTTTAATGTTAATATATACGTCAATTGATGCCTGTAACACTGTCTTATAGGTTACATGCTAAAACCAGGTCGGACATAAAAAATCTTTTACCTTTTGGAAAGTATGAAACTTACACTATATTTCTTTGTCGTCAATAAACAATGTAACGTCCGGTCACATGACCGGAGAAGTCATCCTACACTTCTCTGCTCGATATTCCTCCAATGCTCCGTAAACGATACAAGAGCGGATACCTAAGCAGCGAAACCGTGAAACCAAAATAAAGCGACAATGAAACGCGCAAGTTGGTATCTTGTGATGAAACCACTAGGTATGGAAACTTTGACAGGTTGTAGTGTCAAACATAATAGTTGGTTCGTTTGACCATATCTATAGATATATATAAGCCTATAATCGTATCGTAGGTAATCCTTAGATAAGTACCTAATATAATTATTCAGTGTGAATGCCTTGTCACTTTCTTCTTAATTGTTTTATTAGCGATGAGCGCCCCTTGTGGGAGAGGTAATTATTATGGTATTTCTGGAAGGTGACAAAGAAGATTGGTTTGCTGTTTGATTAAAAAAGTGAGCTACGGACGGCGACAAATTTCTATGTGAACTGTGGAACGGTGATGATGGTGCGTGTTCCTGTAACAAGAACGAAACACATAGGCAGTTATTTTTAAAGGTCATACGAAATACTCAGACAATTATTTTTAAGTCAATAGTTTAATTCGTCAAACTCCCAGCGAACGCTGACGTTCGCGCACCCATTATTCTTCTATTGTCTCGAATTAACACGACTGAAAGTTTAGGTAAAGGTGGATTTTGTTCCCATTCTAAAGGAATGTACTTCTTGTAAGTGTCTTCTCGCCTTGAATAAGGATCCCCGTCGAGGCAGAAAGTAAACAAACTTAACCTAACCTACCTACCAAAAAATAGCTGCATTGCTGAGATTAAGGTTACCTACGTACTACTACGTAGTAACTATTTAGTAATCTGTGATTATTAACCCTTCTGGTGTTCGATTCGGTACCGGCTGTATCAGAACGAAAATCTAAAGATTATAGAAATTTAAGTACCATTCTATCTTGTCTTGACATTCGCGAAGTCGCCGTAGTAGTCGGTATACTAAGTTCATTCATTGTTGATGTCTTCATGAATTCACTCAATTTATAGGCTTTTGCTAATACTTCCAATGTTTTTCCTGAAATGTAGAGAAAAAAACAACTGATTAATCAACTAATCACAATGATAAACTATTGCTAATACTCCGAACTACCTTCCATCTTTGCCTAATTATTAGTACCTACAGAACTATAATAATGTATAGGTATCTAAATGGTATTTAACATTTACTTACCTGTCAAAGTCGTAGGAATATTAGTATTACATCTCCCTGTCGCTAAAATTGTATTTAAAGCCATAACATTATTGAAGATAATTGCCACAGCTGCACCATCAGCTAGTTGGGATGAATCGCAGCAAGACAGTAATGGTGTCCATTTATCAGTGTTCCAGTGCTCACCAGAAAAAACTGCCAGTTGTAATGTTGATGCACCTAAAATAACAATAACAATTTCTTACCTTAAACTTCTTCAAATAACTAATCAGTAGGTACATAAAATACGCGGTAATAATTACGCGTCATAGATTTTTTGTTTTGAGAATGAAAACTAACAGTTGTGGCAAACGTTAAGCGAATTTTTATTAGGATTGACTGACTTGTAAATAATTCAGTTAGATACCTACTCAATATCGCGAGCGACGACGTTTTATGAAAGTTAGTTTGGAATGTATTACTGTATTTTTAGTATGTGATATAGCCTGTATTCTCGTACGAAATTATATTCTTACCAGATTCACTCAATAAATGTGGATTTGCTCCAAACTGAAGCAAAGCTTCTACAATATTGGTACAGCCATGCCGGGCGGCTAATCGTATTGGCCAACCACCTTCTAAATTAGGATCAAATCCAGCACGCAGTAGTTCAATAAAGTCGTCTTCTTGATGATTATGAATTAAGTCTTTTACTTTTTGCTTACTGTGTTCCATTGTTAAACTAAACGCTTCTAATGTTTAGCGTAAGCGGCAATGACGGTGCTACTACCCACAGCGGTCCCATGCCCAAGGACATAAAACAAATTAAAAAAATGTTCACCTACCTTCAAGAAAGTTAAACAATACATTATTGTACCCATTTTTGTCAATCATGCCGATTAAACATCGAATGTAAATAAAATAAAAATTAGGTACCATTTCTAACAAAAGAAACTAAATGCAAATATATTATATCTGTAAAATATTATATAGCCGGGCCTTTTAGTTAATTAGGGATAACACAAGATTTATTAGTCGTAGGGCACGCCACTATAGCGGCGGTAAGGCCCGTTCTAGAGGAGTGGCTCAATAGGAGCCACGGCGCCCTCAGCTTCCGGCTGACGCAGGTGCTTACCGGACACGGGTGTTTCGGGAAGTACCTGTGTCGAATATGTCAGGAGTAGACGTCTCAGTGCCATCATCGTGGTGATTGCAGCGACGATACGGCGCTGCATACCTTGGTGGAGTGCCCAGCTTGGGCCGAGCAGCGCCGTGAACTGGTCGCGGCCGTAGGTGCTGCGGGAAATCTCTCGCTTCCAGTGTAGTGTCTACTATGGTCGGGAGCGAGTCAGGGTGGAGTGCCGTCGCTACCTTCTGCGAGGCCGTGATGCTCGCAAAGTAGGAGGCGGAAAGGGAGAGAGAGGCTGCCTCCTCTCTTTCCTCCCGCAGCAGACGCACTAGACGTCGTAGGGTGGCCGACCTGCGGCCACCGTAGGGCGCAGCCTGCGGATGACAAACTCAGGGCGTTCTTGTCGTCCGACCAGCAGCAAGCCTCGAGGCGGCGGCGCCGTGTTTCCGCGCGCGCCTCATAGTGGAGTCCCGCGGTCGGGGTGACGGCCGCAGTGGGTGACGGGGCCCGCCTTACCATCTAGCGGGCCAATACCCGTCGGGGGGTTGCGACGAATGCTTCGGCGATACCCGCCCCTCCGACACATGGGTAAGTGGAGGAACACCGGGTGGGTTTTTAGTCAGTAAGAATCTGACAGTACCCTTCGCCCTTCCCCGAGGGCGATGGGTCTCCATGAAGATTTTCCAAACCGACACAAAAAAAAAAAGATTTATTAGTCGTAGTAACACATTCATATTCACCCCTTAGGTTAGGGTTGCCAACTACACGTTTTTGCCCCTAAGTTTTAGGTTACAATGACGTCGTAAGCGTGTAGGTATTATGCAAAATATGATGCTACGATTTTTCCTAAATGGAGATTATGGACTTTCCGAAATGTATTCGATAAAAACCAAGATGATTTACATGTTCTCCATCGTCGTTGATGAGCCTCTTGGCACGCCTCTCAATGTGATCTAATGTGCTTAGCTAGTATTTAGCCGAGCCGTCCCGAAGATTAGAGTAGTGCTCTTTACAAGACCGAACTTTTGCTTGGTTTTGTTTTAGCGTACCGCCCCACCCTCAATAAGATGCTTAACTATCTACCAGTTAGTTGCGTCTTCGATTCTAAGTAGGAGCCTTTAAGCGTGGGTGTAGGAATTACGCCAAGAAGCAGCGGGTACAAACTAAGCCTCTCCCCCCCCCCCCCATGTCGTCCTTAAAAATACATTGACAATGTACCTATAAAACCTTTTCCGGTAACCGTTAGCCGCGGGCGTTGCTTCGCACACTGCAAAACGCGCCACCGTTCGTGCGCTGGAGAACATTTCATTTCCCCAATTAGAACGTAGAGTTTTATGAATGCAGATGAAGACACGTCGGAGGGCACTTGCTTTGCTTGTGCCATAATATAAACCGCTTCTTTTGAAGCAATTGTATGCGGTACGTACGATGTCGTAATTGTCGGTTTTAACGCAATAGTCATAAACTTTATATCTTACCGTCTTCGAAATCTTCTGGCTTCTGTGTGTGGAAGTTAAGCAGCCTCCTGGGTTCTCTGCAGAAGCGTTCATTGATGCCTACTCACTTGACTGATCCCTGGGGAAGGCTTCTAACCCTCTGCAGAGACAAACAGGAAGCCCATAGGCGGGAAGGTTGTCAATAAGGCTATCGTGCGTGCCAGACCCCATCAAATATCTTCGAAATAGCAAGCGACACTGCCACTTCTGCTAGTGCCTCCTGGTGCCTTTTTATAGCCTCGCCCCAAATATGAGGGACCTACGCAAAAGGACCTCAGTAGATCGATTTTTAAGGAACCCGTGTTGCTAATCACTGATTATTACCTTCTAGGTATGCCAGGAGTCTTTTCTAAAGTACCTTCACGCTCTATCGTCCTGCAAAATATGGATGTGATCGAGATAGGTCAGTAGTTGTTAAGGTAACAAACCTTTTTAGGTATAGATAGTACGTTTGCTAGCTTTCATCTTGTAGACACATATCCAAGGAAAGGCAAAATAGACGTGTCAAGATTGGAATCAACTCAAAGGTAGTTTCAGAACTACAGCTGGAATTTAGTCATACATACCGAACCTTTTGCCACGCCATTTTACGAGACTTAGATGTTGGACAAGTATTTTGATGGTTAATTCAATAAATAATAAGAAAATTTTAAATTCAGGTTTTTTTTATTTGAAATCAGATGCAGCTGCCAACCTGTGGGGTATTTAGTTTTTGAAAAACATTGAGTGTACCTAAAGTTTGATTAGAGTTGGTAACATAACATTGATCATAGTCGATAAAGATATTGAGTGTTTTGCTTAAAGAACTCGTATCCAGGCCATAAACTCCAAAAAAAAAGATATTGACATCACAATCAAAACGTCAAAGTCAAACAGCAAGTATTACCGTCTTATTTTAAAGTGTTTTATTTATTTATGCTTTTACGAAACCGAAACAAATCTCGTTCTTTAGATCTTGTTGAAACTGAAATTAGTAGGTACATGTATGTGCACAATACCTTTGTTACCATTTTGAAGAAAACATGGGCAGGCAAGTACTCTTGCTAAAACTAAATATAAAACAAAGGCTGTTCATCCGTGTTTATAAACTTTTATATTTTTTCTTGGTAGGCATGCAGAATGGAGAAAAATTGCCAAAAAGCAGAGAAGAAAACGAATTCGAACCCTTCAAGCTACGGAAAGAGGTAAGTTAAAACTAATCAAGTAAATTAAGTACCTAATGATATTTTGATAAAAACAAACAATTATAATATACATAATAATCAAAATTCAATACTTAAATAATTAATGCTGCCTTTTCTGATACTCGAGTATTTTGGCTTTGAAATTTTTAAAGTCTACTTATCTGTTTTTGTCCTATGATTTTCAGACAAAATTTTTTCAACTGACTGGTACATAAGGCAACAAGAAATAGAAGAACAACTAATTTTAGAACAAATTAATAAGCAAAATGAGGAAGAAAATAAAAAGTGGATTGAAGCCGAAAAAATTGCAATAGCTCAATGGAAAAGACTTCAAGAAGAAAAAGAGAGGGTCATACAGAGGAGACTAGAACAAGAGGCTAAGATGAAACTTGTAAGTAAACCTGTGCTTTGTTATTAGGCACAATTTAATAATCTTTAATTATTATAAATATTTACTTTTATACCCGATAGTAGAAATATTTTCAATTACACTTACAAGTATTATTAATAGCTTATTAACATGGTTATATGCAACACAGACACACAGAGAAGACACAATTAAGACTTATTAATTGGCTTTGATTTCACTCACCAACTATAAATTATCTCAATCCATCTAACTTTATATCAATATTAAAGGAATGGGAGTTGGAACAAGAAAAGAAAAAAAAAGAAGAAGAAAGACTAAAAGCTGCTGAAGAAGAACAGAAACGAAAACATCAAATGTTTATGGATCATTTAGACAAGTTCTTGTCTGGAGACTCAATAGAGCCTCCTCCTGAATTGAAAGTGGTCCATGAGACAAGACCAGATGCTGAACTTTGTCCATTTTTCACCAAAACTTCATGCTGTCGGTTTGGTGATCAGTGTTCAAGAAATCACCAATATCCAGGCATTAGCAGAGTATATCCTTTTCTAAACTTCTCCATGATATTTGCTCATTACTTTTTTTGATCACCATGGATATCAAAGATATGGATATTCTATGGACTTAAAATAAAATAATATTCTAGCAACATAGTTTGTGCCCAAACCAAAGTTTAGTTAGTGACCATGTTCCATTTTTGTAACCACGGTGGTCAGAAGGGTTAATTATTGCTCCTGAGACAGCCCTTATGTAAAATCTTAGGTACTTACAAAAGTTATTTTATTTTAGGTGTTGTTGGCATCAAATTTTTATATTCACTTTGGGCTAAATAATGCAGATATCAACGAATATGACACAGACATCATGCTAGAATATGAAGACAGTGAAACATACAAAGAATTCAAAGAATTCTTCTATGATGTTTTATCCGAATTTGAAAAATTTGGTAGAATAGTGCAATTTAAGGTAAGCTATAAACAGTACACCAATTATCCCGTAGGTTGACTCTCTGTTAGAACTCAAGCTCTGATATCTAATATGTAACTTATTAAGCAATCTCATATTCCTTAAGCAGATGGATTACCTGATGGTAAGCAATCACACCGCCCATGCACACCGCCGCAACAGAGGAGTTACGATTGCGTTGCCGACCTTTTATGATTTGGAGATTCGGGGATTGGGGGTGGGGAAGGATTGGGCCTCTGGTAACCTCACTCATATGGCAAAACACTACGCTATGGTTGTTTCACGCCGGTTTTTTGTGAGGCCGTGGTATCACTCCGGTCGAGCCGACCCATTCGTGTCGAAGCATGGCTCTCCCACACTTAATATGTTTCCTTCTTTTGCACATATAGTTCAAGAGCTTTACTAATTTGCATTTGTCATTTGAAATTCATATGTTTGATATTATTGTTAAAAAATTAAATCAAAGACATAATTTTTTACTCAAATGGAATTCAGATTTTTTTGTCTGTCAAAGGAAGACTTGGCTGAAAGTTAGTCCATGGTTGAAATTGAACCTGAAACTTAAGCGAGGTTTGTATATTATTTCCAATCCTACAGATTCAGTTACATTCTTCAAATATTCACTAATAGCTTTTGCGTTCGGTTTCACCCGCGTGGTATGTTGATAAAAAATAGCCTATGTCCTATTTCGGACTGTATCCTATGCCTGTGCCTGTTCACCCAGATCCGTCCAGCCGTTTTGGCGTGATTGAGTAACAAACATCCAAACATAATAATTTTCGCATTTATAATATTAGTAAGAAGTAAGATACATAAAAAATATTAGATGTTCATCAAAAAAAAAAACATGAGAAATCATAATCACATATTATTATTGGATGTTTACAGGTGTGCAATAACTATGAAAAACATCTTCGAGGAAACACGTACATAGAATTTGCTGAGTTACGATGTGCTGTCGCCGCTTATCGAGCTTTACATACTCGCTGGTACGGAGGCAGGCAACTATCCTTACAATTTTGTAACATCAATTCCTGGAGCAATGCCATATGTGGTAAAAAACACACTTCTTTCTTTTGGTGATGTATGACCTGTTTTGTAGTTTTATTAATTAAGTTAAGTTAATTTAATATTCAGGACTCCAGTTGCGAAGGCGGTGTCCAAAGGGTCGGGCATGCAATTTTCTACATGTCTTCAGAAATCCGAGTAACTTCTTCAATCATAACCATAATTATGATCCTGAACGAGAGAAAGATAGGCAAGTAAAGTACACTGTTTAATGCACCCGAAAGAACTTGATCTGTTGAATGGTACTCGAACAAAATAAAAAACAAATAGTAATAACTTTTTATTAATTAAATGCAGGAGTTCCCGTTCTTCAGTTCGATCATGGCGGTGGTCTGAGTCTCCAGAGAGAGAACCATCGAAAAAAGTTAGTTCAAGACGTGACGAAAGCAGTGACAGGCGTCATCGAAAACCACGGTACCGCGAACGTGACCGTGACGACGACGACGATGACGACGCCCACGACGATTATGACAGATATTACCGTCGAACCTCATCCCGGCACAATAGTCACCGTCGTTAACATTTTGCGTTATAAATTTCATATTATTTTTATAAAAGACTTATTAAATTAATATGAAAGAGTATTTCTTTTATATTATGTACCTACCTATATATAAAATTATTGAGTTATCAGTTTTATAATAATCGTCAACACCAGTTTGGTTTTGTGCCTGATATATGATAACAATTATATGTTCCGTAATATTTATGAGCTAGTCAATAAGAACAGTCTTTAGGTTGTAAAATATTACCGATGACTTTTCTGTATCTCTGCCTACCCTGAAACCCCAAAGAAATTGCGTGATAGATCGTTTTTTTTTGCATTTTGGCTTGAACAAAATAAAACTAAATTAAATATATTCCGGTGTTGTGGCATGTCGTGTCATGCCAGAATTGGCCAGAAGCCTATCAGTTTCATATATTCACGGTGTAAAAGACAAAACGGCGTGTTGAGTAGTTTCACGTGCTCTCATTTAAACCAGAGGCGTTTTGTCGCGACAATACGCCACACAAGTGAGAAACGGCGTGGCCAGTTGTATCGTTTCACATGCTGTCATTTAAACCCATGGCGTTCTGTTGCGATTAGTCGCGATACCATACGCCACACAAAGCGAGTCCCTCTTATCTAACAATTCATTAAGATGAGACTGACTGTAAAAAGACTGGTTACAGACTATGGGACTACCTGATGTAAAAGCCAATTATTCAAAAAAAAGTCCGTCCAAAAGACGGCATATTTTCTTATATACCTACACACCAAAAAGTATACAAACACTACGTTCTAAACACCATCAACATTGATATTGTAATTAAACACATAACTAAGGTCCAATTAAAAAAAAACCGAAGAAGAAGAAAAACAACCAAATTGCAATCTTAACTTTATTTTTGAGATAACAAAACCTAAAAAAAAATATCTTCAGGGAAATTCTTAAGAGCTCTTCTCTGGAGCATAGGTATGCAGGCTGCTTAGGCATGCTCAATAGGATTTAAGTCAGGGATTTGTGCAGGCCAGTCAACGTGTAACGATACGCGCCGTATGTTTACGGGCATTGTATGTGGGGCAAGATTACAGGCTCTAGCACCTCATTTTTTTTTTATTTATACTTCATGCACAATTTGTAATGTACATAAGGCGGACTTAATGCATTGAGCATTCTCTACCAGTCGACCTTTGGGTGATGCAGAGAATCCAGTAGTAGATGCAAGAAGCAAGCGAAATAGAGTAGTATAACATAGGTTTATATAAACATACATAAAGTACATAAAACTATACTTATATACATATATTTATAAAACACATACTACTTAATATATTTACACATATAAACACATACATACATACATATATATACATAAATATAGTCATGATCACGATGACTCCCCAACCCTCCCCAGAAGAAGCTCCCGAACTCTCTGCTTGAATGTCAGCCGACTAGTCACAGTCCTGACATCGGGGGGTAGCGCATTCCACAGAAGAATAGACTGAACAAAAAAGGAGTAGTGAAGAAATTTTGAGTGATGAGTTGGACAGTTGAGGAGACGATTATTAGATGAGCGAAGATATTTACTATGGTTTGCGCAGGTGTATTGGAAATAAGGGGACAGATAGGTAGGCAAGGTGAGCTGAGAAAGGAAAATAGAGTGGTAAGCGCCCTTTGCTCCCTGCGCTGGCGAATGGGCAACCACTTTAATTGCAACCGATGTGCAGAAACATGATCATATTTGCGCAGGTTGAAAACGAAACGAATGCAGTTATTCAGAAGTCGGTCAAGTTTATTGAGGAGATCTGCATTCAGGTCATAGTAACAAACATCAGCGTAATCTATTATAGGGAACAACAAGGCCTGCACAAGCATCGACTTGGTGACGGACGGAAGCCAGTTTTTCACGCGATAAAGGGCCCGCAGCGAACCGGTCACTGTTTTGCACACGCTAGTGACTTGTGTATTCCAGATTAAATTCTTGTCAATGTGTAAACCTAGGTCTTTAACGTCACTGCTGAAAGGAACGATCGCACCGTCGAAAAGGACAGCTGGCAGAGATGCACTGTCAACCCTAACTAGAGATCGAGAGCTACCGATGACGATAGCTTGGCACTTGTTCGGGTTTACCGCAATGCCAAACCGTACAGACCAGTTCTTGATGGTAGTTAAATCATCGTTTAGTTTTGAGATGGCATTGGGCAAGCAGTCCAAGCCAGCCTGACAGTATAGCTGCAAGTCATCTGCATACAGATAGTACGCACACCGAAGGTCAGAAGTGATAAGATTGATAAAAATGGAAAACAAGAGAGGTGATAGTATGCCGCCTTGAGGAACGCCAGCTTTTAATTCGCGCCAACCTGATGACATATCACCATGCTTGACCGACTGCTGGCGCTCCTGAAGATAAGAGGAGAACCATTCCAGTGACTCGCCAGAGATCGTAAGATGGGATAGGATGGCTAATAGGATATCGTGACTGACCATATTGAAGGCATTTGAGAAGTCTACCAAAACCAGGACTGTGGCTTTAGTGTCCTCAAGGCCAGCTCTAATATCGCCAGTCACTTTAAGGAGGGCGGAAACAGTGCTGTGGCCCGGTCTGAAGCCCGATTGGAATGGACTGACTAGTGAATTCCTGTAAATGAAAGTAGAAAGTTGTTTGTGGACACAGGCCTCAAGCACCTTGGACAGGAAAGGAAGTATGGATATCGGACGGAATTGACTAGGAAGAGTGGGAGAAGAGACTTTCGGAAGTGGACGGACAAAGGCTTTACGCCAAAGGGATGGGAAAGATCCGGAATACAGGGAAAAGTTGACAATATGGGTTATAGCCGGCAGGAGGTGATCCAGAACAGTCACAATCATATAACGAGAAATGTTATCACATCCTACCGCTTTGGACTTTAATGAAAGGATAATCCTACGAATCTCCGTCGAATCCACCGGAACGAAGCGGAAAGGAGTAGTAACGTTGGGACGCGCGAGACCAGAGATAAACCTCAGGGTGTCGTGTTTTACTAGACGATCTACGGTAGGCACTGTGGAGAAATGGTGATTAAGATCGTCTAGGCGTATAGAGCTGGGTAATTCTAAATGATGCGTCTTGCCGATACCTAGAGTCCCAAGAAATTTCCAGATATCGGCTGAAGATGCAGAAGAGATGTTTTCGAGAACATGGCGGCGTTTAGCGTTACGCACCATCTGGTTACACCGATTTCTTGCTAGCTTAAAAGCTGCCCAGCTTTCATCGGTGCGATCCCTCCTGTGCTTTCGGAAAGCGCGGTCCCTACGTCGCATAGCCATTTTAACTCCCGGAGTCATCCAAGGCGCAGGCAGCCGTTTTACCCTTATCCGCCTAATGGGAGCATGACGGTCATAGAGGCTAGTTACTTTAGCGTTAAAAATCTCGACCTTTTCGTTGACTGAGGTGGCTTCATTCAAGGAACCCCAATCGATCGATAAAGCATCTTCCTGTAATCTTGCTCCGTCCATTCGCCCAAAACAACGCCTATATAAAACCCTAGGCTTCACCTTGGGTGGCTTTAGGATGTAGGAGAGGAAAACCATGTCGTGGTGAGAAAAACCCGGGGCATCACGCTGACCATGGCAGGATACAAGGGAGAGATTGGAGGTGAGGATGAGGTCAAGCCAGGAGTCATCGCCTGCAGTGTTGTGGTGAGTAGGATTAAGTGGTAGCACATGTAGGTTAGCCGACTTGACTATGTGAAGGAGTTTACGGGATCGAGGGGAATCATCATTTCGGTATTTAAAGCAGTCATAATCCATGTACCCTAGATACTCTTCGCGAATCAGGATGAAATACAAACCTCATCAAATGACTTCTCTCGCCCATGGTATAGCGAGATCCAGTGTCAGACTCTTACTGACTGAAAACCTCTTTTCCTCTTCCTTTCCCTTCTCCTCCTCTCCCTTTCTTCTAGTATGCATATTTTGAATTGTTTAATATCATCAATTATTGCTATTTCTCGTCAGTGTAGCCCCAGCATAAGTGAAAATAGGATGATTGCACACGCATGACTCGAAAAACCGGTAAGTACCGTCTATTGTCAATGTCAATATATCGAAATGTCAGTCTTTTATATTATTTACAAATACTATTTCGAATTCAATTGCTTTCAAAGATTTTAATAGGTTATAAAAACTAATTTTTAAAATGATATCATTGAGATAATGGTATAAAAAATATTGTATATAGTTATTAAATAAATGAACCCCATAATCGCAGCTCAACCTGTAATAATTAAATTCTTTAACAATGGTCATGAGGACAGTATTGAACAAATTAAAGCCGACGTATTTGTTGCTATCTAGTGCCTTTAAACTCAGTCCTGCTTTTATTACTGAAAACTATGTGCCACTATACCATAGGCCACCGTATCGCGTGATTAATAAATTATCAATCATATCAGTTTCGTATGCGACTAGAACTAAGACTACTGAGAAAAATGGTACTTATTATTTTTAACCGACTTCATGTAATTGTAAATAGAACATGAGTACCAAATGAGTAACTTTTACTTATTATATTTTCAGGTTTTAATGCCACAAAAGCAAAGATCATATTGGCCCTTAATTTTCAGTCTGCTGAAGATGCATTACCATTCTATAAGCTTCCAGTTAAAACTTTGATTCATGTATTAAAAGTTACAAAAAACGATGAAAGTAAAGGGCACTGCAAAAATAGATTATACTATATTGCATCCCGCCTAAAGGTAAGACCTATTAAACATTTCACTTTTAAACATCGTATATCACAAAGTTATGCCTTCTGTACTAAGGCACTATATTTAATACACTAGCACTAGGCACTAGGTTTAATTTTTATAGTCTTATGTTCAATGTGAATATGTTCTATGCTATGTTATGATTATATGATTTACAGTTATTATAAAATTTGCAGGTGCCTACATCAGTATTGAGCGAAAAACTAGCTAAGAGAACTTTCATTTACAGTTTATCATTTGACTGGATCGAGAAGGCATTGAATGTACTCTTAGGTAAGATTATTTGTTAGTGTAATTAGTAATATTAAGCAATTATTAAACCTTTCAATCATAACAAGTCAAGGCACACTAAGGGTGCGAATGTTCAGTGTTTGCTTGGGGTTTGATAAATTAATAAATTCATACTTAACATCGTCATACTAGCATACCTTTTTTATAATTCAATGCGACAGAGACACACAAGATATCTAATCATTCTCTTCCTGTTTCCGTGGCATGAGTTGCCCTTGTGGAATCACTGTACCAAGCAGGCTTCGTATTTGCGGCAGGCCCCGTCACGTTGCGCGGCACTTGGGACCTTTCCCGTTTCAATGGCGCGTCGGAACACAGCCATACATTGCACGTCTGACTCCCCCTGCCAAGTGCCTTCAGGTCTCTCCTTTGAAGGTCTCAGATCGGCCTCCACCTGCCGCCTCCCATCATTAACAACCAGTTTGTCTACCGCAGCAGACAAGAGAGCTGGACGCCTCCATTCTATAATTGTCCACTTCGAAAGAACCTGTGTCAACCGACACCATGCCCTCTGCCGATCGATGCCTCCATAACCGGCTTATCACTGCTATTGTGTGAGTGTCCTCTCGGTTGCGCAAGTCACAACGTCCACTCCGCCATTATTTCAAAGCGGATTACTTACCTTCGTCCCCCGAATAGACGTGTTGGATATCTCTCGTTCCGGACAGCCATGTCCCCGTGCTACCGTTAAGTATCCAGCTAGGAGGCTAGCTACATTGAAATTGACCATGCCTCCTTACCGGTCTGACGACAATGCAAATTTGGCCTAAGAATAAGAACATAATTGTTACAGGATAACTTAATAAAAGCACATAAAAAAACTATTTTACTAGTAATGTTTCTGTTGTTTCAGAAATGAATGTATCCTCTGATCGTATTTTGAGAGATTTATGGGTATTAAAATATCATCATGAAACTATTCATGAGAGACTCCTGAAGGTCAGAAATATGGGCATTGAAAATCTGTACCCCTGGATGGTGAGGTGTTCGGAAGACATATTAAATAGGTATTATCGACTTGCAATTGTAACAATGTCGGTTTCATGTAATTTAAACAAATTACCTGCTCAGACATAATGTACAAAAAAGCGAATAAGTCAACATAATAGTCAAGCAATTTATAAACCCGAAACCAAGATAAATTAGAAGTCATCGCCACGACTAGATGTTTGAATTAGGTACTTCTTCTTTAATCTTTAGCCGCGCAATCGAAACTAGGAGACCCATGAGGCCAAGCCATTCTTTTAGAGGTCCCACCTTTAGCTTCTTTGCCTAAGCTACTTTTTTCTTTGCTGTAACAATGAACTCAAAGAAAACTAAAGTTGTACTAAATTTGTTTGTTTTCAGGTATATCACTATATCAACGGAGACAAAAGACATTTTGGGCGAAACTAAATCAAAACACACATATCTTGCTAATCGGCTGAACGTTTCTGTCGAAACAGTTCAAGAAATGTGCTTTAAAATACCTGCATTGAAAACAATTCGAGTAACAAAGGTACAAAAATAACTTCAAGGGCCTTATTTCATTAGAACACCATGACTGACAAATGCAACTGTAGTGTACTCAGAGACACCAGAACAAACATTCATTAATTTGTCGGCCGATTTCGACAATCGGTTGAATGTGATACCTGGTCGCACAAACATGGAATAACTAGCTTCCGCCCACGTGGTATGTTGATAAAAAGTGGCCTATGTCCTATTCCGGAATGTATCCTATGCCTGTGCCAATTTCATCCAGATCCGACCAACCGTTTTGGCGTGATTGAGTAACAAACATCAGCGGAACTTTCGCATTTATTAGTAAGAGTAAGATAAAGTAGGGCTCTAAAAACATGTTCTTTCTCATTAATACAATTTGCAGTACATTTCCAGGTTAAACATTTTCTTGATTTCCTTGAATCAGAAGGGTTTGATGTTGAAGAAATTGCCACCAAACCCAGGGTGTTATCAGCATCACAAAAGACAGTGAAGAAGAGGCTAGATACGTTACGCAATTTGGGATTAAAGGAGATTAATTTAAATGTACTATGTCGAAGTAAAAAAGACTTTAAAAAGTACTGTGAATCAATTGAGTCTATATCAGAACAAGGTGAATAAATTAAGAGGCCTTATGACTCATATTATAACAAGATTCATTTTTTACATTGTGAATTTCTGCCCATTGTTTAATCATCTCAACCATCTTTCTTTTTCAGATACCTGACATTTATATCTGTTTAACACATTTCAATGAGTTACACAAATATAAATTGACATTTTATTATTGCTATTACGGAAAAAGAAACTAGATTTAGGATTATAAGTTGCAGTGCCAAATGAAACAAAAAAATATTTATAAATAAAAACTTTTACAAAACCTTCACAAAAGTTGTTGAACTTTATTTCCCTAAAAGCAATATTTCCACAATACAGAAGTTGTTAACCTATACCAATTTATTTTTAAATATTAATAATAATCTATCTAAAATCTACAATAAGCAAGTAGCCTAGTGAATGTGAATCAAAACTATAACATGGTTAAAGTGGTTATTTTCGTGTTCTGATAACATAACATTATGTAATCAGCAGTCAGCAATGAAACATTTGAAAGGTATGTTTCTGGCTTGTCATGCCTACTGATGTAAAGATAGATGCATCATCAATGATTTCACATTTTACGCATTTCATTAATTTATGAATTGTGTTATTGGTTTGTCACTATTAATAATGAAAATATAATGACAGGTATCACTAAATTTTATTTTTCATATATAATACATATTATTATGGAATCCAATAACCCATACATGGATTAATATTAATCTAGTGCCAAATTTGAGTTACTAGTTCAGTTAAAACAACTAACTAGAACTCAAATTACCTAGCCTTATGAAAGTAAAATAAACAATACAATTTGAAAATTACCTACAAATGACAGCAATTAGACCTATGAGGTATCACAGGCAGGTTATTAGTTGAAAATGAACATTTAATTACTAAATCTTAAAAAAAAGTTTTCGTAAGCCTACAGCCAATTTTCACAACAAATTAACTGCACCATTTTACAGAAAGTAATTAGAAATAGACCCACAAAACAATCAGTGATGTAAGCTTACAATACTTTATTTAATTCTGCTTCAAATTTAAATAAGAGGCACAGCAATACAGTTACTCCAAACAAGTCAATACACTGCACGCAAAAGTCAAATATGTCTAGCATTCTGTGAACTAAGTATAACAGTTATAGTGTATACCTACTTAGTTTAATTTACATAATAACCTATGATAAAATTATATAGTGTGAGGTTTGAGTAAGAATCCATAAATGTGGATAATTGAACTACTGGTGTGCACACTGTACCTCAGGGCCAGTGTGCATGTGCTCTTCATCATCACTGGCATATGCTTCCTCCCGACCTCGTCCACGTTCACTGGCCGTATACTCCATCAAATTAACCTCCTCCACATCTTCTCCAGTGGGCATCACAAAGGCGGGACGAGGAGGCAACACAGATTCTATTTGCTTCATTTGCTCTTCAGTAGCAAAGTTGTTTTCAGGGAAAACAACATCAAACTTAATATAAAGGTTACCTTTCTCAAATGGATTCTTAAATTGAGGCATACCTTCGCCCTGAATACACTTCAGGTCTCCTGGCTTGATTACTTCTCCTGGTGGATGTCTAACCAGTAAATCCCGGGCATCTAAATGTTTAATAACAAATTCGAAGCCACACAACGCCTCAGTTAGTGTAATTTCATGTTTGATCACAAGGTCATTACCAGTTCTCTGGAAGATAGGATGTGGCTTCTGCTGCAACACAATGATCACATCACCAGGTTGAGTGTCAGGCTGCTGATCACCCTCACCTCTGAAGAAAATCTTTTGGTTTTCACACATTCCTTTTTCAATATGCACCTCCAAGATTTTAGTTTCATTTAAAACTTTCTTGCCTTTGCATTTTGGGCACTTATCTTTGTCGTTAATGGTTTCACCCTGACCATGGCAGGTGGGGCAACGCGACTGAAACTGACGAGTCATATGTGGTGCAATTTGTTGATAAGACACTTTAATACCCTGTCCATGACAGTCCTTGCAAACCACCACAGATCCTGGCTTACCACCGATTCCCTTACAAGGTCCGCAAATTACATTTTTACTAAGCTGTAACTTAGTAGTTTTTCCCATGTACATATCTTCCAAAGACACTTTAAGTGGGTGCATAGTATCTTCTCCGCGAGCAGGACCTCGACCTCTGCTGCCGCCTCCCATGCCGAATATATCTCCGAATAAGTGTCCAAACAAATCATCGGGAGGAAAACCACCACCCTGACCACCTTCTTGTAGGCCTTTCAAGCCATACTTGTCATAAATTTGTCTTTTCTTCGCGTCAGACAAGACTTCATAGGCATAACTAATTTCTTTGAATTTATCCCCTGCAGCAGGGTTTTTGTCTGGATGGAATTCTTTAGCCAATTTATGATAGCTCTGAAATAAAAAATATAAAGATTAACATCAAAATCACCACGCATAGAACAATGGACAAAATCATGCAACGAATAGATGACATTACATGTGCGATCGGATTTTTGTCGAAACTTGAAGAAGAACACTTACCCTTTTTATTTCAGAATCACTAGCACTTCTAGACACTCCCAAAATATCGTATAATTTATTATCAGCCATTTTTCCCAAGATATAAAGGAAAGAAAGAATTAGGAGTAAGCTGTGATTAAAATGTGCACTAGAAAAGGTTTTTAATTTTTCAAGCACAAAGGTCGCAGCTACATTCAGCCTACGACTAGCGGTTTCATTCTAGTAATGGGCAACTCGAGTTATCTAACTCGGGCAACTCGAGTTAGACCGTGAGCGAGTCAGCCCGAGTAAATATTTCTGCAACTCGGGTTGAACCGAAGAGCGCGCGCCGCTCGACGCCGTCGCCCGCTCGCCGCCTAGCCCGCGATTCGCGAGGCCCGAACGACACCGAGCGAGCCCGAGTCAGCACGAACAACGAAACGTAGTCGCGTCGTCCGAGCCGCGAGCCGCGAGTGAAAGAGATAGTTCTCGTCTTCGGCGAACAAATGACAGAGTTTTAACACAAAAGATTAGATATTTGTTTTGTTTACGTTTTTGTTATTACTACTTAGTTCGTAATTTATTGTTTTGTGGCGGTATTGTTAGTTTATTAAGTGTTGTTTGTCTGATTAATAAGTTTAGAATGGCTCCGGGAAACAGGAAAAGTGTGGCGTGGGAGTTTTTTCGAAAATAGACAATAATACTAAAGTACAATGCAATTTGTGTTCTAGTCAATACAAATTTAGTGGAAATACGGGTATCTTAGTGAACCACCTAAAAAAAACACATTATACAATAATATAGTGAAGCTGTTGGCCCAATCTTACAACTTTCAATAACATTAAAGTCTGATTTTTTGACAAACTTATTTTATTTGGCTATCATTAGCATGGACTCGACCCCACACAGCCCGTCGGGCTCGACAAGCAAACGAGCAACCCGCAGAACGATGCACCGAGTCGAGCGTTTACTAACTCGAACGGACAACGCGGCGAAGGACGCGACGTATCTTATGGCTGATCGGGTCGAGTCAACTCGAGTTGCAGCCCGAGTTGGTTATCGGGTCAACTCGAGTTACTCGAGTTATCAAAAAGACGACTCGGCCCATCACTATTTCATTCTAGTGGCACTAATTTAGTCTATGGAATTTGGAAAAAATATCGGCATTATTTTTTGAGATATTTTCAGTAGTAGTTTAAATATTTTAAAATAAATTAGAAATCAAAATCTTATTTAAAACTATGTTTTCAGATACAAATGATATGAAGAACTGTGAAATTAACCACGAAATTACAACAGTTCTTTGTATATCTAAAATATTGCACATAGTTGTGCGTATTGGTATTATATTTTATATTGCGGTAAGTCCACTTTAGTGTTCAAAAAATGTATAATTAAAATTCGTAGATTGATTTTACTCTGCTCGTGAGTTGTAATTTGCTTCGTGAATATCTGGATGAATCGTAGACAGAGAAGACCAGAATCTGTCTACGGGACGAATCGTTGTGTACAAAGCCCTAATGTTATAATTTCCAATCTGTGGTTATCACTCGGTTTCTGTTATTATTAATCTATACTGCAATCTAAGCACAGACCTACAATAATACTAAATCTATGAATCTAAGCACGAAACGAATGTTTGAATAGGTATGTCTCCGCAAGAGTTGTCTCCGAATGTTTGATTATGTCTCCGTAGTGCGTAGTGGTTCATACTCTTTGCCGCAAGTTAGTCAAAAGCGCGCAATATTTAAATTTTGATGAATTTTAAATCATAAAAACTTAATGATGGTACCTAACTATTGTATTCTGTTAGTTTAAATTTTTTTTACAAAAATGGACTTTTTTGTTTATGTAACAAATAGTAAAAAAAATAAAAAAAAGATCGTCAATTTTTTTTTTGGAGTTTATGACCTGTATAAGATCCTCACAACACCAACGTAAGCGTAGTGGTTACATACTCTTTGCACAACACTTTCAATACCTACGTACAGAACAAAATAGATATCATACATAGAAAACTGATCATTTTGACAAAAAGAAAAAATAATTTAATAAGGACAAATTTCCAGGAAGTCGTTCTCCCAAAACTATAATAGGGGAAAACGTGAAGAATATGTACCTACTTAAAATGAATTTTTAACCCAAATAAAGATAGCATTGAAAACAGAGCAAACCTTTTATTTATAAATATAAAATCTGGCTAGTTAGGTACTATTCGTAGCGCGTAGAACATACAAACGTGAAATGCAAGGCCTACAACATTCACTTGAAGATATTATTTATTTTAATTGAAATTAATGGTGCATCATCGCTTCTGAATAATAAATTATGTCATAATATTTCCAACGTTCAATATTTCCAAAGGAACGTAATAATTTGGAAATATTAAGTCTATAGAAGAGGAGGTACTATCTATATAATGCTTAGCTTTGTGATTGTTATAAATAATCAGCAACATTTCCAGGTAGCCTAGCGAGTTTCTTTACTAGATACTTAGTACGCGTAGCTAAGCCACAACTTCTCCAGCTTCGGAACTTTCAAACTAAAAGACGGGAGTTTAAAAAAATTACCATTAACATCCATAAGCTCCAAAGCCCTATTCATTCATAGCTAGGTTTTACTTACTGTAAGTTTTAAACTACTTAATGGTATACGTTGTTTGTTTTCTCCTGTGTACCTAACTAGGTATATATTAATAAGTAGATACCTACAATTCAACGCCTCTCACTAATGAGGCGTTAAATTGAACCTACCTCAAACTTTACTCCTATTTCTGTGCAGCAAACGCTTTTTTTAGCAAGTATTACTTATTTTGCCAACGCAGTGGTAGTTTATTGAAGCCCTTAAGTAATCAGCTGAACGGGAGGCAACAAATACTTCAAAGCTATTTTGTTCTAACTCTCGGGTACCTTACCTATTGTTTTTTTTACCAAGAAGTTGTCTACATTTTGATAGAAGTAGCTGTCTGAAGGCGCAAAGTCGGTATCAAGTAGGTATCAAGTACCTAGGAGACGAGCGATTAACCAATGTTAATCGCTCGTCTCCGCTGGATTGAGATGTGCAAAATTCTCCATCATTGTGTTCAGTTCCCAGTACACATCTGCAGTACTTACCTAGTGCTCACCCAGTTTGGTTAAAAGCTTTGATGAATCACACTGGGGACCATCAAACAGTGACCATCATTTTTCTGGAATAGGTTTTCGTTGAGGGCTTATCCAACCAATTTTCTAAACGCTTGCAGTTATCGCACAGAATACATTTTTCATCGCAGGTAACATAGTGGTTTATTTTTCAGGCCTTAATTTCCAGAACGGGATCAAGCGGAGATCAATGATGGTGGTGCGTTGGTTTATAATATTAGCTTCGTACACGTCGTCGGTGTTTGCCGCTTGTGTCGCATTGCTGCCATGACATATTATACAATAAAAAATAAAATAAAAATATAACATTAATATTACATATATTGAATTGAAATTGTAAATACTGCAGAACGGCAATTCCATACTTATTTAAAACCTAATCTTGTATACATATATACTCGTGTCAAAATGTTAGTTAGGTACCCAGGTACACACTTAGATACCAGGTTTAACGTAAGTAGGGACTTAAAGTCCCACTGATGCATGAAAATCTTAAACAAGGCAATAGCTGCAGAAGAAGTTGGATTTGAACAGAACAGTTGTAAAACTACCCACCACTTGTATTATGTAACGGGTAATCTTTGGAACCGCTGGTCGGATTGCCAAAATTCTTTCACTGGTAGATAGCTACAATGTTAATGAGTGCTATAGGCTATAAAACATCACGCTACGATTAAATGGAGCAGCGGGTGAAACCGCACGAGAATAGCTAGTATTTTATACAATCAACTAACAAATTTTGAACATCATCAAGGACACCACATATTTCACAATCTGGAGATTCATTTTTTTTTCATTAGAAAAAGTAGGTAGGTACCTACTTATCGAATCACTCAGACGCAGAACTTAGATAACAATAATAATATCAATTAGGTATGAGTGAGTACAGAATGTGTGTTATTTTACTACTATGTAATGATAAGTACATAAATGGAATTTGATAATTCAAGTATTAAATTCCAAAAAAACAACATACGTAACGCTATTCAGATAGGTGTTTATTTTGTCATAAGGTAACAAACATACCTGTATGACGTCATAGAGTGAATATTTATGACACCACTTACCTGTGAAAGTTCGCCCCGAGCACCGACTGTCGATTGTGAGCTGAGTGTAACTTGCAATCCGCGTTTTGACTCGTAATGGCCGTGCGGAAGACATCAGAAATTCCTTACGTAGATAAATAAGCACTTAGGAACTTTTAACGAGCTAATAATGACACAAAGTTTAGGCATAACAAAGCTAAAGACATTGTAAATACCTGAGGACTAGTTGAACTAACCAAAATTTGTAGGTACAAATGAACGTGTTTGTTTAGATTCTTCGAAAGCGAAATGAAAGTGTTAGGTCTATGCAACATGTTTGATTTGAGTAAATCAAACATGTTGTTACCACACTTGTATAACGTATTGCATAAGTTCTAAAATTAATTGTGAGCCCTGATGGGTAAGTCATTGCGACTGATCACGTCTGACCCATGGTTATCGCATTTCACGTCCTAAAATGGCCAGTAAGCCATTACTTATAGGAGTTGAAGTAGTCGTACTGACGATATACCTACTACCGGTTCATTTGGAAACTTATAAGTAATTGCAATAAGCACATTACCATTAAAAAGATTATGGTCTGTTCTACTTCGAAAAAAAAGATTGTGGTCGTAAAACATTACCTATTAATTTGAATTACCTAATTATCAAGTATGTACCTACATAAGTACTACTACATTACTCGGTAGAAGATATTTAAGTGCTTACTTCAAACGGAGATATAAACAAATAAATTAAAAAATCCTTCAACCCCTCTCTGAGAACGGTGTGACTAACTAAACAAGACTAGGTAGTTTTGTTTGCACTTGACCTTTCTATTGAGACGCTAAAAGCTCCTAGGTCATATATTATGATACTTACATGTGGAGCCTGTGTACCAGTCTCCTACAGTTTTTTGAACAGTAGTCTTAACATTAGGTATACCTGTAAATATTATGTGGTGTACAGTGCATTAGTAAATTATAGATTCCGATATGAAGGTACTTAGGTACCTACATAGAATTTATAACCTCAGTACAATGGTGGCAGGGGAT